ATCGTAAGTTAGTTGCAGGACAAATCCCCAAAATCACCTTCGGGGATGGGAAAGGGGCCACAGTGGCCTCGGCCTACTTCCCGGGGGATTGAGCTGGGATAGCCACAAGGAAATTAAAGACTCTGGAAGCGGAAGAAAATTAACCCACTTAGTCATGGGCTGCGATGGCAACGTGCACAACGTAGTATGAGCAGCTGACAGGTTTTTTCTGGAATTCGCAGGGTGCCATTGTGGCTGAATGCGATGAACAGTGAGTTCAGAGGCACGTTCCTAGGGCAACCAAGGTGATGTTGTGTTCCGGGATGGTCCCGGATGACACAGCCACCATCTTGAAACGTTTCGAAAAGCAAACTTCTGGGTTCAGGACGAGTCTATGAAGGACGTTTTTCCATAGGGAGGAGCCTGGTAGAGTCCACTTCGCATTTGGTGTCGATCAGGCATCCTATCGGGCACTCAGAGACGGTGTCCAGATAACAGCTTAAGCATTAATCCGCTCAAAACGGTTGTGGTGCCTTTTACCAGAAGAAGGAATTCCAACATAAGGGTACCCATCACCACCGATCTTAGTAAAGAGGTCAAATACTTGGGAGTGAACTTTAACCAGGCGCTAACGTGGAGCTCACATATGGGTAAGGTGATAATCTGATACCAAAGACCACCCTGGCTTCCCAGGTCTGTAGTAGAAGGCTACTGGGGATGAACTGGGTCTTAACGCCTAAATGACCAAGTTGAGACTGTCATCAGACCCATGGTCACATATGCCGTTGAAGTATGACCGGGACCATGACCACCGGTTCCACAGCTGCTATAGAGGCACTGATCAAATCCCCATTGGAGCTAATAAAGCACAACTTAGAGGCATTCGGACCTAAAGACAAATAAACTAGTTAAACAAGGAGCCAGGCGGAAGCCAATAGTGCCGGAGCCTTTCTGTGGACTGCGTAAAAACCACATACAAGAAGCCCTAAACAAGTGGGAGAATATGAATAGGATCCATCACTGGCAGGTGGTACCAGGACAACGGCAGGCTATTCATTAAGGCCACAATACAGTCAAGTTAAAACAGTAATCGTAAAATTCCCATTTGTAAGATGCAACTTCCCTTAAAATCTCGTAAAAGTCCGGCTACAAAAATATGAAAGATAGCGTTGCATAATGTGCATCCATTTTTGACGTGCTACATCAATTTCAGTTTATAAGAAGAATTTCATTTCAATGCTTTTCTAAATAAGAAAGTTGGAACTGCGCATGCGCAAACTTAAATTTTGAAACTAACGTTAGATGCTCCTTTGGTCCAAGCGCCTATATGTATCAAATTTCATTGAAATGCTTCCATAAATAAAAAAGTTGGCACAGCTATATATTCCAAGCACCTATGCATGTCACTTTTTAGGGAAGGGTCATCAGATAGTAATCTTCTTCTAAGAAGTATTGCAGATATCATAGCTCTGGGAGGTATGGAATACCGCTGGGAATACCCCTCGGAAAAAAAAGAGGGTAATGTGACAATTCCAGGAAAATTATGTTAAAAGAGGCATGCCTAGCAAAAGATGGCCCAAAGATTACTTTCTCATAATGACCATCTGGGAATGGTAATGGGGTGTGTGTGCTGGGAGGTATTCCATACCCACCAGACCCCCGGTTACAGTTTTCCCTACAAAACCTTTAGTTCTCAGGACTCACATGGCACCTTTAAGGAAAGGATCATCAGATAATAATCTTCTTCTAAGAAGTTTTGCAGATAACATAGCTCTAGGGGTTATGGAATACCCCCCTGAATACCCCTCAGCAAAAAAAGGAGGATTATGTGACAATTCCAGGAAAATTATGGTAAAAGAGGCAAGGATTTAAGGCCACCTAGTAAAAGATGACCCAAAGATTACTTTCTCATAATGACCTTCAGGAAATGGAAATGGGTGTGTGTGCAGGGGGGTATTCCATACCCCCAGACCCACCGGTTACAGTTTTCCCTACAAAACCTTTAGTTCCCAGGACTCACATGACACTTTTTAGGAAAGGATCATGAGATAATAAACTTCTTCTAAGAAGTGTTGCCGGTAACATAGCTCTGGGGGGGTATGGAATACCTCTCGGCAAAAAAAGAGGATAATGTGACAATTCCAGGAAAATTATGTTAAAAGAGGCAAGAATTTAAGGCCACCTAGCAAAAGATTACCCAACGATTACTTTCTCATAATAACCTTCTGGAAATGGAAATGGGGTGTGTGTGCTGGGGGGTATTCCATACTCCCCCAGACCCCCCGATTATAGTTTTCCCTACAAAACTTTTAGTTCTCAGGACTCACATGCCACTTTTTAGGAAAGGATGATCAGATAATGATCTTCTTCTAAGAAGTTTTGCAGATAAAATAGCTGTAGGGGTTATGGAATACCCCCTTGAATACTCCTCAGCAAAATAACGACGATAATGTGACAATTCCAGGAAAATCATGTTGAAGGAGGCAACGGTTTAAGGTCACCTAGCAAAAGATGACCCAAAGATTACTTTCTCATAATGACCATCTGGGAATGGTAATGCGGTGTGTGTGCTGGGAGGTATTCCATACCCCCCAGATCCCCCGGTTACAGTTTTCCATACAAAACCTTTAGTTCTCAGGACTCACATGTCAATGTATCACATTCCACTTAAAAGTTTCTATAGATAAAAAAGTTAGTGCTGCAAGGGATCCGCATCAAAAAGTTACCAAACCACCTCAAAATTGAATGTGGCTTATTGGGACCGGGACCTGCCAACTTCACGCCGGTAGACCAACAAACGAAATCCGTTTGATTTTCTACTTTAATCGATCTATCACTATTAGTGATCGTTAGTGTCGCAGAAAAAATGTTAGTGCTCAAAGCTCAAGAACTCAAGCGTGAAATTATGGGTTTTGCTAAATTCATGCAGCAAGCCCACATTAATTTATTAAAGTGGTCCTGCCTTAATGCGAATCTGAAGCTCCTCGTTGGTGGTTAGTTCTTTGAAATATTTTATTGAGTTAAAGGTACTAGTATTAGTATATTAAAAAGAAATCATCCCAAAGTTTTGAACCGCATATTATAAAATGCAAAATATGAAAATAGAAATAGAAACCAGAGCTAATAAAGACATCACTAATTTAATCGTTATATAGTTTTTCACAAAGTAAACTCATATTTTCACATCTTGAGCTGTTGCGCTTTGAGCACTAACGCTTTTTTTTGTGACACTAACGATCACTAATACTGATTGATCGATTAAAGTAGAAAACCAAACGGATTTCGTTTGTTGGTATACCGGCGTGAAGTTGGCAGGTCCCAATAAGCCACGTTTAATTTTGAGGTAGTTTGGTACCTTTTTGGTGGGGATCCCTTGCAGCACTAACGTTCGCATGTGAAGCACTAACGAGCACTAACGTTGCTAGTTTAACTAGTGTAAAGATTGCATCGATTTTCTTAAATGGGTCTGCTGGCATGAAGTTAGCAGGCCCACAAATATTGTTTAAAAATAGTAAGTTTCCTTTTGTGCACTAACGATTTCTTCAGCGGCACTAACGTGCACTAACGGAACACTAACGATATGAGTAAGCAGAACCATGGTCTGCTGTAGTAGGCCTGCCAAGTTCATGGACATCAGAGCCTAGGCAATATACCGCTTAAATGCCATTGGCGCAGCGGAAAAGCCACATGCACACTTTGTGGAGAGGCAAAGACTAAATGACGTTGCCAGGACAAGCTGGAACCGCACGTTCGTTATCAAGTTGGATACTTATTGGCGCTGGCAAAATTTGTGGGATAGTGTGAAACTCAATGGAGTAATTCGTCGGGTTTGGAGGGAGGCTGTGGAAAAGGAACCTGAAGGAGGACAACATGTATGATGGGAGAGTGTTAGGTTTTCCAGAGGTTAGTTCAGGGGTTAGTTGGATCTAATGGAACTGTAGGGGGTGTTAGGAATAATAAAATAGTTAGTCAGGGTGACAAACATATAAACACAACATTAATAAAATGAAATGGGGTTTGATCATATTATAATTATATGAATAACTGGAATTCCACTTGGTTAAGAGAAAGTAACACGGTCACAACGGGGAAGGTTGTTGCCCAAAGGAAACTTGGGGATAACTGGATTTACTACTTCCTAAATTTGCAAAAAGTTTTGGTGTTAGCAGCAACTTTGGAGCAGTTGTAATAATAAATAACAAACATTATCAGAAAGGTGAAAGTTTTTCTGTGAGGCAATCTTAATTTAATATTAAGTTTAACAAATTTTATGCACCTTTTTGAATCCTTTCCCCGTAAGTATCTTCGTATTTATGAGACCACTCCTGAATTGTCCTTTTTAGATTACTCCACCCCAAAAAAAAATGCGATTCAAGCCTAAATTTAATGTAAATTTCGTATCAAATGTTAAGTTTCATTCAAAATGGTTTGAAAGTTTTAAGGATTAGGTACGTACTCTCCTGAGGCACCCAAAACAATACCAAAAGCTGTGAGAAGAGCATTGACATACAAATTTCAGATTTACACGTTATACTTACCAGATTCCACAGTTTGCTCCGAAAACTGAAACGAAACTGAAAGTATCGCCACTAGCACCATCGCCCTGCAAATTTGCGAAAAGTGACCGTTTTGGTAGGAAGTGAAAATGAGACCAAGGTGTGGACCGAAAAAAAAAACTAGAAATGCGGGGAACGTTCGCTGTGGGCAAACGTAAAAAAAGACTAACCTGTCCCGCAAAACGTTTAGCCGAAGAAACCGAAGAAGAAATAAATTACTGAAAGTGGTTACGCAACGAGCACGTTGAACTTGAAGGACGTAACCAAAAACTTCTTGCGCGAAGCTTTGATGAGGAAAAACAACTTCCTCGCGTACGATCTTTGTTTACACCGAATTCCAATCTCTAATCCGAGTGAATTAATTTAATTAATTTAATTAATTTAATTAGATTTTTGCGATCGTCTTCACCTCGATCGAAACACCGGCCGATCGAAATCCAATCGGACACTGCCAATGTTCGAAACGTCGCGATCCTCAAAGTGTAAAATGGGACTTTCTTCGATAGGTAAAATGGAAAGTGGTCGGCCGAAATTCAGGTGAGTGGACATAATTTTAGAGCAAGATGAAAGTTATTGTGCCTGTTGTTAATTAATGGACGAGCCGCGCGACCCCTCCTTTTTTAACGCACGTTATGGGCCCGACAAGGAAAGGAGATCGGGGTAAATGCTCTGCTGCGTTTTTCATTTACTTTCAAAGAGTCTTTTCCTTTCATTTTAAAATAAAATCGGAAGATATAAATACGGTGGCGAGTCAATAAGAGAACTAAATCTCGCACTGACTTCGGAGAGAGGTGTGCGCCAGTTTTGGGATTAAGTGAGTTTTTTCGTCTGTACAATGATCAATAGTCTCGCGGTAAGTTTTTTGGTGATCAGTTTTTTTGGATAATCACGCGTGACTTTTTTTAGTTAACTTCCTTGGGTTTAATGGCGGTCGTCCATATGTGCGTCGCCGGAGGAGGTGGAGGGTAACTATTGTGATCGTGAGGGTTTTCGCATGTGTTGTAATGTGGATTACTTGCAGTGAACACAAGAAGGTGATCATTCACGTGCCGTACAAAGTAAAAACGATCCATCATACGCATACGATTGTGAAGCACGTCGGAGGAGGAGGACACGGAGGTGGCGGCGGAGGTGGTGAATCGTTTAAGGTGATCGGTTTCAGTGGCGGAATCGATGAGGGGCACGTTTTTACCCAGGGAATCGGCGGAGGAGGTTTCGGTCATGGCATTGGGGGTGGCTTCGGAGGCGGTTTCGGAGGAGGGTTTGGCGGTGGATGGGCTGGTGGAGCTTCTGATGGGGGTATTGGCGGAGGACATGGCCCCGCGCTATTAGCCAGTCATGGTGGAGGAGATATCGGTGGTCATGGCGGAGGTGCAGAATTAGGGGGCGGATATGGAGGAGGATTTGAAGGCGGATTGGGGGGTGGTCATGCTGCCATTTCGTCAGGAGGTGACTACGGCGGCGGATATGAAGGAGGTTATGGATCAGAAGGAGTCCAGGCTATCGGTGGTGGAGGTGATGAACACCATGGATACGACTAACAAGAAATCACTCACACCTCAAACGTTTACTAGTCTAACAGTATAATTTTGTACATTTTTGTTGATTTTAAAAGTTATTTATTACTGTCCTTTTTTTTAAATAAAACATAGTCCCAGATGAGTGTTTCTTTTTAAACAAAAATATTTTGCAAAATGAAATTGCTTCTTTCTCCGAACTAATTAGTGCAGGGTCGCAGCCTGCATGCCGCAGTAGAAATTTAAGCTTTCATTGATGAAGCCCGCACAGAGGAAAAGATATTGATAGTTGTTCTCATGAAGTGGGCCGTGGTGCGACAGCGAGATCGTTATCATGGGCACCGAGCAAGAGGATAGAACGAAGAGTTGGCACCCGGAATTTGCTAGCAGAATAAACAACCTACAGGCAACCAAGGGAGGGTTGCGGACCTTAATACTTCGTTAAAACCCTTAAGGCTGCTTCACGACTACAAAAGAATAGAATAACAAGGTCAAATTGTTTGCTTTAACAAGAAATGGCCGCGAAGGTACAAACACATATCATGGAGAATTTGGAGAGCCGTCAAATCAACGAAGTCAATATCCTCGCCAAAGAAGAGCATACGTTACATACGTATTTGGGTGGAAATAGCACCCTGCAGATTGAGGGGGGGGGGGGTTAGAAATACCTAGGTGCAAGATGTGGTAGGAAATTCAGGAAGAGGACCACAGATCCAGAAAAGAAGATGCACCCAGGGAGAGGCGGTGCTTTTACTGCAGAGAAGCGGTGCATCTCCGGGATAAATGGCACAATAACAAAAAAATAAATGTTATATGTGTGATGAGGTGGTAGGTCACTTCCCTTAGACTATGTCGTGCCCCAAATAACATCTGCTAATCTAGTCAGTTCTAACAAAAATTCGGTAGTGTGCGGGTGTTACCTCCCTCGTAATGACGGTTTCGACACACTTCAAAAGGTCATAGATGAACTTACGCGTGAGTCAACCGGCGGAAGACGAGGCCTCCTGCGTGAGATTTTAATGCTCATTCTACGAGGCGGGGGTCGACACCAAGGGAATGGGAACAGAAGTAGAGGACATGGCGGTCCTGGACGTACTTCAATCATAGATGTAACCTTCGCCAGCGCAATCACAGCAAACCAGTAGCTGGAAGGTGGAGGAAGAGGAGTCCCTCAGTGACCTCCATTACAATATCTGGATTGTAGATGGTAGGACACTTCTGAAACCTAAGGCTCCCAACAACCAATAGGAGGCCATTCGGGATGGCAGGAAGTTAAATGTCGAAAAGAGGAGGGGGATCTTGGAAAAGAAAACTGAAGCAGCTGCTTATAAAATGGGCAGACGAGGTCTTTCCAAGGGAGTTAAAAAACGAGCAACTTACTGCTGGGATGAAGAAGTGGCCGCGGAGAGGAAAAGGTGTAAACCCAGGAGGCGGGATTATGGTTTTCGTAAAGGTAGAGGAACAAGGGAAGCGCGTCGACGCATGCTGACGAAGAGAATAGTGCAAGCGAGGCAACCTTCGGGGGCAAAATTTACACTGCGGATCCACGGAAGGGTACGGTGCTGGGGCCAATTTTGTGGAATATCGCTTATGACCCTGAGCTGAAGGCGACCGTGGCGAGAGGAGTGCACAAAATTATGTACGCGGATGACCTAACGATAGTAGCTGCCGACCGAAAGAATGGAACCTCGAAGAGGATCGAAAGGTCTACAAAATTTATTCGGGATTTGTGGTGGCCTGAGAAAGAGCCAGAAAAGGGTCCTGTCAACAACGTGGTAGCATTGATCCGATCAAAGCGGTCGTGGTGCCTTTTCCCAGAAGGAAGAAGCTAAACATAAGGGCACCCACTATGGGTGGCACCACCATCGATCTTAGGTGATAAAGGAGAGAAAAGGAAGCAGGTGTTAAAGGGACAAAACAACGCGCCAAGGAATTATATCATCCAACGGATGGTTCCAGTCCGCAGTTTCAGGATTTCCTTTCTCCGTATCATTGTAACGAAGCCGTTCCGACCTTGTTATTGTTTCACCAGCTACGGAATCATTCTGTTTACGAGGTACAGTGATCCGTTACCCGAAAGGGACGTGTAGAAAGAATGCGCGATGTCAAAGTATAAGAACGAGTCTTCCAACCTGTTAGTGAAGGGGGTGTGAACAAAGTGAGAGGAAAGGGCGCACTAATAAAGGATACGTTTATAGATGTGAAGAAAGGATGAGTGATAAAAGAAGCGTAAAGGAATAAAACCTGAAAAATGGGGAAGAGAAGGTCCTTTCAGTAGAGAATGTGTAAAAGTTGCATGAGTGCAAAACATGTGATGGCATGGAGCATCAGAAAAGAGACATGACGAGTACTCATGGAAGATACTTGAAAGAGAGAGCATGATAAAATAAAGTATTCAAGAGCTGTGTCGGAATAAGGTATTTGTGAGTTGTGAAGGAACGTATCGAGAAGAAGCGTAAAGGTAGCCTCAAGAAGATGTAACCTGGATAAAGGGCGACGTGGGATTACGTAACACATAGCACGGAGGGGGGGGGGGAGCAGAAATCGAAACAGAGAAGGCAGAGGACGTTAAACAGAACATAACAGGTGACAGAGGGTACAGGAAACATGATAGAGAGCGCGAAGAGGAAGGTAGAATGCGGAGATAGGGTGTGTAGACGAGTCGGAGGACAGTGATGAAAGAGGACAGAAAGCAAATGGCAGAGGGTAGTGAACAGCTGATGGTAAAGAATTGAGGGCAGAAAGCAGAAGAAGAGTGCATTGGAGAGTAGACACAGGACATGGAAAAAGTAGCAGAGGCTATGGCGCAGAGCAGAAAAGTCAGGCGGCGGGTAACAGACGATGCAAGGAAGAGGATATATAAAAATAGACTGAAGGCAGAGTACAAAGGGCGGAAGACAAAGAACAAGGGACCAACGTAGAGGACGAGCATAATATGATGGATAGCAGGAAGTAGATGAACGGTGACAGAAGCTAAGAACTGAGGAGAGAGTGCCAAGAACCTGGAAAACGAATGGCAAAGATTGGAACTGAGGACATGGGAGAGATGCCAGCGCACAGAGAATTGAAGATAGAGAACTTTTGAAAGGGCACGGGGCCGAGGAAATATGCTAGAGGAGAAATGATAGGATGCAGTGTGGGGAGCGAGAGAAGTCATAAGGCGCGGTACAGCTGTAAAGCATTAGAAGTGATAATTGGAAGGATGGAAGAGAGTTGGTAGGAGAGGACACAGAAGACAGAAGAGCAACTAGGGGCGACGAAAACAAACGGGGATACAGAGCAGACGAGAAATCACATAGGGAGGAAGGCAGGGGGCCAAGTACGTTTGAGAGGTGGAAAAGCGCGTAGGGTAGATTTCCGGAAACAAGAGAGATGGCATGCTACAGCAGTGTGCAGGGATTAGAAGAAAGACTTTAGAGAAGGAGATATAAGGAAGGGGGACCTCAGGCAAACAACAGATAAACGAGGACTTAGTGCAGAGTAGAGGTCAGAGGGGCGGAAAGTGAGGAAAAAACAAATACTAGTTCCTGGCATGACTGGAGGGAGAAAAAGAGGTAGAGAAAGCCAGGGGAGTGTACGATGTAGTAGAGAGGGCCACCAAAAAACGTATGGGAGCTAAAATTAACACAGTTGAAACATACGCACCACCAGACGAGAAGGAGAAGGAGTTAAAAAGACAACTGAAAGAGTACAAGAAGAGGATAAGATATTGCGTGGACGGAAATAGATCTAAGCCTAGCACCCCGACATGTTTAAAGGTTGCATGGGAAAGGTCGCGCTAATAGTGAGCGGGAGAAGAGTACCAATAAACAAGGTCCACTCCGGAAGGAATTATGCATGGGCGGAGTAATAGCTTCTAGCTCTCTTGAGCATTATGGCTCAATGGTAGAGCGTTGAGTTATAAATCCGGAGGTAGGGTATTCGAACCTGGGTTGAGGTGAATTTTTCATCTGTGGCAGAGATGGAAATTACCTTAGACCAGTTTCGAGCATTCTGCCGTCTACTCCGAATCAGGTTTTCCTGCAGTTTTCCTAATTCGTAAGGTAAATACCGGAATAGTATAGAACACCTTAAGACCTTCTGCAGAGGCACCTCTAAATAGCATTATGCGGGTCACTCTGTAATTGGGCGCAAGCCTGTTGAGGACCCAGAACAAGAGAGGGATAATAAATAAATAAATAAACAAATAAATAAATTGAGTCTGTTCCAGCTACGATACCATTATACACATAAATTCCAATGATAAGTTTTTGTTCACCCCTTTCTCGAATAAATAAGCATGGATCAGCATTACTGACCTTGAATTCATGTTCATGAAGAAAACTCCCAGACGTTTGTTCCAGCATCTTGGCGCTTGTTTGAGATCGTAGAGACTTCTTTTCAGTTGGCAGACGTTGTTGGTTCCATCTTCATATCCTTGGGGCTGTTTCATGAAAACTGTTTCTTCAGGATTTCCGTACAGGAATGCTGTAGAGACGTCAAATTGCATCAAATTCATGTTTTCACTTGCTGCAATGCTAAGAATCGATCGGATTGTCCCCATCCGGGCGACTGAACTGAAGGTTTCACTGCAATCGCTACCATGATGCTGACTGAACTCCTTGACGGCTAGCCGCCCCTTGTACTTGTCGATGCTACCGTCAGGATTTTTCTTAAGTCGGAAGACCAACTTGCATTGAATTGTCTTTGCACCAGGTGGAAGATCTGTCAAAATCCAGATCTGGTTTTCTTTCAACGAAGCGATTTCACGATCCATGGCTTTCTTCCACTCTACAGAATCACTTCTTTTTAGGCCATCTTTAAACGTCTCAGGATCCTCGGTCACTAGATTTACAAACTCCTCCACCAGCATGGAATATGGTTCCAGATGTTGGGGTTTCCTCAAGAGCCATCTATTCCTCAAGATTCTTTCAGAATTCTTCTGAAAATATTCTTGTTTTTCCGTCTTAAATTTTTCTTCTTCTACATCCACTTGTAGCTCATCGTCACTGTCATCTTCTTCTGTTCCTTCATTGTCTTCTTTTATTGGAAACTTGACTTGATTTTCACATTCTTTAATTTTTTCTTGAAATTGAACATCTCTGGAAAGAATGACCTTGTGATCATTTGGAATATAAATTCTGTAACGCTCATCACCATCATATCCAACGAGTAATCCTTTACTTGTTTTCTTGTCCATCTTCTTTCTCTTCTCACCAGGTATGTGAACATAGCAGACAGATCCAACAACTCGTAGATGTTTTATCCTTGGTTTCTTCCCAATCCACAGTTCATAAGGACTTACCCCTTTTTTTGAAGATTTTCTTGTTCTATTTAACACGTAAATTGCTGTCCATTACCAACTCTGCCCATATAGAATCTGGAAAATCAACTTCATTGTTTGAGTACTTGAAGGTTCTGGCCATTTCGATTGTTGTTCGGTTCTCACGTTCACTGCCTCCACTTTGATCTGGTGTGTAGGGCGCTGTCAGTCTCTGAGTGATTCCGTTCTCCACTAGGATGGTCTTAACCTCTTCACAGTCGAATTCACCACCATCATCACTGAGCAGTTCTCCAATGCTGTGCCCAAGGATTTTTGCGTGTGCTAAGAACTTTTTTTACACAATGCGCACACCTGATTTATGTTTTATCACAAAACCATAACGAAATTTTGTGTAATTGTCTTTAAAAATCCAAGAAATCGTTTTTTTTTACTGAAGGATTCACAAAATGGGCCTACAACATCAGTAGAAAAAAGTTCACCAGGTTTCCTTGCAGTTACTCGAGTACCAAACGGCAAGCGATGCGCCTTTCCAAAAATACAGGGCTCACAAACCTCTTTCACTAGCTACACGGTGATGCCTAACTCTCTTTTGCGCATCTCTCTCACGTGTCGCTTGTCTTGGTGCCCCCATCTTTCATGATAGAGTTGCAGCATTGAGTTTTCTACTTCAACGATGTTGACTCCCTCTGCTCTCTCAGGAATCACTGATTCGATGGCTGCCTTGTACAGCCTCCGCCTTTTTCACGACCTCCGCACAGGACAGTTTTTCCATTCACTTCTAACCAGCACTTGGTCGCAGTGGAGTAGAACTTACTGTTTTCATTTTTATCTTGAGCTGCTAAAACAGAAAAAAATTTCTTCAAATCTTTGGAACATACCACACATCAGTCATGATCATTTTTAGAGTGCTTTTCTCAGTGAAAGAAGAAATTTCAATTGTTCCCTTTCCAATGGCTTTGAGCACTTCTTTTCCAGCAGCCTTTATGACGCAGGGTGATTGAAATTCTTGAAACTCAACAAACTGGTCCGGAGATTTCGTCAAGTGCTTTGTGGTTCCATTGTCGATCCACCATCCTGATGAAGTCTCTTTCACTTGAAGAATATCTTCACTCACACTACAAAGGGCTAGCTACATTGGAATCCACGACGTTGGTCTGATGTACTTTCTTCTGTGGTCGTCCATCCGCAATCCACTTTTTGCACGTTTTTATCCAATGTCCCTTGTTTTTGCAATAATTACAAATATCATTTTCTTTTGACCTCTTTGATTTTTGGTATGTTTTGGATTTTCCGTTTTTACAAACAATGCTTCTCCAGTGGCGCTGTCTGTGACCTTTCTGAAATTTCTTTCGTACATACACAATTGGGTCACTAGTTCATCAGAGGTTTTTTCTTCGTTTTTCGACAACATCCAACTAGATCTGAAATTCTAGAAATCGTCTGGTAAAATTTGCAAAACTTTACAAACAAGAAGTAAACCAGGCAGTTTCTTCCTTGGATTTTAAACCATTGTTAAGCTCATTCCATCAATTTCTCAATTTAGCAACGTGGGTTGAAACATCCTCTCCATTAATCCAACTGAACGCTAAAAATTCTGTGAATATCTTAAACAGCTGATCTTTGGATGACGCCTCAAAATTCAATTTTAACGCTTCCCATGCATCATGCGCTGATTCTTTATCCATAATCTTTTGATAAACTGTGTCCGACACTGAGCTCGATATCATGGATTTTGCATAACTATTCCCCTTATGAAATAAACCACTTGCCTTTTTGTGATTAGCTTTGACCCTTTCATCTTGTTCGCTATCTGACAAAGTCTCTGGTTTGCAAAGCTTTCCGTCAATGACGTCCAGGGTGCCCTGATATGATAGCAAGTCACGCATTTTTCTCTTCCAAATTGGTCAGTCTGCCTCACCAGCTAGGGGTTTGATGTGTTTCGCCAAATCCATTTCTTAAAAAAATGTGTAATGACGAACCTCTACAACAAACAAAACTTCGCGACTCGACTTTGTACTTTTGGATTCCCACGTGCGATTTCTTTATTCAGACTCTTTTATTAATCTGAGCCCATAACGTATTAAAGTTATTTAATATACCCAAAAAGCACAATTAGAACATGTATCTATTCTTTTTATGAAAAAGAATACAATTCTACAAAATTGACTGACAGAATATATTATTCATTCTAAAACACGCCAACTTCTAAATATAATTTTTGTTTAAAATGGCAATTAACATTTTTACTTTAACAGATGCACTTACCAACTTTCCTTCTGCTTTTGCAACAAGCCATTGAATGGACGGTTCCACCGAAGACATTTTATTTACAAACTACGCGTCGTGCCATTAAACTCGTTGCGCGTGCTTTGAAGACATGATTATACACTTGCTTCTTAATATACTATTTTTAAACAAATTTTCAGTTTGCTTACAAATCACTTTAAAGTATGAGTTATATTTATTGCATGGTAAATTAGCCCTCCAAATCTTCACATTGCGGGACACTTAAAAGTAAAACGGCATTCCATAGAAATGTGAGTTGAACCATAAACACTAAATGATGGTATTTTAATCATTGTATAACGGGAAATGGGTACACCTTTTACAATTTGGAATTTTATCTATTGTGATTTGAAACGACGGATAGTTTAATGATCTTCAATCTCTGTTTTAAATGGCCGAGAACAAAATTACCAAGTTCCGCCTCCCCAACGAGCGTCTTTGAGGAAACAAACACACAATTAAAATTTTAATTTATTACGCTTACTTAGACTTAACAAATAACAGACTGAACAGCATTCAGAAGATTAATAGGAGGAGATCAGTACGTTAAATTAGACCTGAGAACGAAGAAATTCTACTATAAATTTTAATTAATCCCAGTCGGATACGCCACCATGCCCACCGGAATCATGTCCCTTGTGATGTATCGTCTTGTACACGGTATGGGTATGCTTTATGGTCTTCACTTTATACGGTACATAAATCTTGACGTATTTACTGAAAGAATGCGTTTTTTTTTCAACTTTGGGTACTAATCTACTTACTCTTCACCGGCGTATCCCACTGACAAAGCGCCCAGCAAGCAGATAACGAACTAGAAAGTAGCAATTAGAGGCAGATCAGGGCACAAACAAACACAATTTACCAACAAATCCAGTTTCATATCGGCGATTGATACCAAAACGGCTTCTTCACTGTATTAGTACCGATGATTTGTACGTGTTTTATTTATTGGCCTCGTTGAAAACAAGTAGTGGAGTGGGAAATTTTTGTTTTTCTTCTATTACTCTTACAATGTGTATTATTTATATTGAGAAAATGTTGGGCAACTCGAGCGGAACGAGTGAAATTTCACTCTCTCCGGTCGCGGCAGAATCATACGAAACGGGAATTAGCGAGTGAGAAAAAAAACTTTCATAGAGGAAAATTATAGGTTTGCAAATCGATATTAGCAGCTCATGTGCATCCCTTTCTTCTCGAGCGAGCTCGAGTTATTTGGGTTTCTGCTAATGTGCGTGTCGCTCGAAAAAAAAGAGTGCGGCGCTTCCGGTTTTCTAGGCGAATTAAGTACCGGTTTCGTTGATCATCGCACGCACGTGATGCAACCGGATATGCAGTTGTCGGGAAAAGTGAGTGTATCAAATCGGCAGACGCTTTTCTCTTTCTTAGTGTAAGAAGATCACTTAACACTTGACTAATTCTAGTCCACTTCACTTCAAATTGGCGATGAGACAAGGTAGTGGTCCATGTACAGATCCATGCGGAACACAGACATGGGGTGGGGAATTTTGTGGTAATTTAACAATAAGGGTATTAGGTACCACCAAGTTCATTAAAGCTAGACAAGGAAGTCTCATTGTCCATTTGGAATTGTGGAATCCTGTATGGATTCGTCACTGAATGGGCAGTTTGTGCCACTTTCTGCGAGTGAATGATCAGTAAAAATGTGGTTCTCTATACTGGAATTTCTGGAAAAAAGTTAACTTGAGTAGCACAGGGACCATACAGGTTGACGTTCAAAATTAGAGACAAGCTGAAATTTGGCAAAATACTTTGTTTTAAGGTATTAACTACCGTCTGAAACCCCATCGCCGATGCTTTGAGCCCGTCATTCCAAAACCACCCCCTAAATGGCGTAAAATCCACCTTTTTAGTGATCTTTTACTTTTAAAAAATAAAAAGTGCACTTTTTCGATCTTGATGTCTCTGTCTGTCTGAGTCACAAAAGCTCCGGAGCTACAGCACTTACATACTTGGTATTGGTGTCATTCGATCGAAATAAAGAATTATTTCATGTTTGTATTCTTCTTAAGGCATGAAAATAATAAGGGCTATTAAAATCGAAAAAACAAATTTGAAAGTGCACTTTTCGCGTCTTGCTCACAAGCGGCTTAACGAATTTTTTTAATTTTTTTTAACTAAACTAAGCATTTTTAAGAAAAATGTCAAAGGAGAACAATTATAGAGAAGAAAATTAGCTACCACATACGTATACATCAAATTTTTTAGATTTTGTGTTGCAAATTTCAGCAACTCATTCAACTGCTTAATCCAAATACTACATGGTATATTATTTTTTAATATTACCTACTATTAAACGCCGGAAACTATTCACAAAGGTTGCCTAAAGCATGATGAATTGAATACTGGGTCCTGTAAGGAGGTCTTCGAAGTGACCCCCCCCCCCCCCCCAACTCTAAACAGCCTCCATCACTCCAATCGTGGGTGTATCGGCTTGTCCGGCACCTCATTCTCCGTAGTCCGTTTAGTTCGTACCTACTTGCAGTCAGGAGCGTTAACCTGCCCCATCCCCCACCCCCCTTTCAAATTTGATGTCGTATTATTATAAGGTAATGCACTCACATGCGCCACCGATAATAACTCTTGCGCCATTATCGTTTTTTAGAAATCTGAAAACACATTTGAGAGGGGGAGTATATGTAGCACTCCCCCCCCCCCTACTATGTATTTTGTCGCTGGTATCTATGCCATCTGATACATCTGGCTATGCGCTCAACTGCGCCACTTGAATTAATATGGCGCCATCACGGTTAAGCCATGACAAAATTTTCAGAAAAAGGGGGGAGGCAACTTAACGTTTTTAAAAGTTACTTTTTTCTATCATGTTATTACAGGGTGGTGTTTTTAAGTGGACCATTAGAAGTATCTCAGGAACGGTTTGGAATTTTAATTCGGTCCCATTACCTTTTTTGAATAATCGATCAAAAGGAATCATTTAAACTTTTCCGGATGCATCAGAACAATACCGGAACATTCTTATTGTAAATGACACTATCTTTTCTGATGATATTTTTGAATTCCTCATAAAAAATCAGTATTATTTTGGAAATATGATGATGCTATGTCTGACTGAATGGTTTCGAAGTTTCAAAGTTTGACATTTTTGACATTTTTTATTTTTTTGCAGTTTCAGAGGTTCAGTAAATTAGCCATATCGCGGTTATCTGACAACTTAGCAAAATGTTTTTTTACGAATGGACAGGTAAAAATCCACGCTATTAAATGTTATTGGTCTGATTTTCAAATGTAATTCGAAAATAACACGAATAATCATTCAAAGTTGACAATCGGTTTTTGGTCAAAAACTTGAAATTTTCAAATGGAAACCATATCTTTACTATGCATCAATGGAAAGAGCATAAAAAAGGACAAAAAAACATACTATAAAATATACTATACTATACTACACAGTGATACTATACAGTTTTTTTTAGTTTTTTTAGAAAAATTTTGCAAGTACAATTTTTTATCCGAAAGCAAACTTTTGGGCGGCTGAAGCCGATTAGCCCTCCAAGACGCGCGCCTTGCAAAAGGTGGTTTATTTCGCCTCTTCGAAAAAAAGGTCTTTCCGACGACACCAATTTGAAAACAATCGGACTCATACAAAGAAGACGATAGAAAAACACTGAAAAATCGGAGACTGGGAGATGGCGACCAGACCTTGTAGCCCCGCCCCTACGTTGTTCATTACATGGCCCTGGTAGGTACATGTACACTTGTACAGGGTGAGTCAACGATTGCGCGGAGTAACTTAATTAATGCCTTGAAGATAAGATTTTTCGATAGAGTGCTTTTGTATTATGATATGGTTGAATATTCTCAACATTTTAAAAATATTTGAAATTATACAGTGTGCGCCCACAAAGTCGGGCGCCCAAATGGTACATTTTTTAAAAAATAGAACCCCCCTGTATTTGAATGCATTTTTGAATTCTACGTGTAATTGTCTTTTTTATTATTTGGTTAATATCCGAAAAGCAAGTAGTGTAAAAGATGATTTGATTTTTAAGAAAAATTGAGCATTTGCAAGCGTGAGTAATTCAGTATATATTGTCAAAATTATTACTTAAATTTAGATTCCAGGTTTTATATCTTTTATCCTGGGTTAAGTAAAAGTCAAATAAATGGATCTACTATGAAACATTCAAAATATAGCTTACAGGGTGTTTTTTGATAGGTCCAAGGTTGCAGAACTTCATATTAAAAATCTCACTTTTTTTAAAGGAACACCCTGTATATTTTTCTGTCATCATTTAGCTCCTCCAAAAACCTTCAACTTTTGATAATAATGTCCTATACCTATCGCTAATAGTTTTCGAAATATCTTGGTTTTCCTGGGTTTTATATTCTAATCTTAAAAATAAGTTATATGTAATTTACATAATAGTGAGGTGGCCATGCAAAAAAAAGGCAAGTTCCCATACCACAACCAGGGCATCTTTTTCGGCGGTGGAGTAATTGCACTCGGCAGGTGTGAATAGGCGGTTCGCATACTCACTGGTCGCTCTTCTTCCTTTTGGCTTTGTCGTAATATGGACTAGCCAGTTAGAAGCGTGAGAAAAGAGTTTTTATGTTCCGGGCCCCATGTCCATGTTTCATCTTTCTTTAACAATGCCGTGAGTGATTTTGCGAAGGCTGGTACAAATGGTCCATACCAAGAGAATGTCCGTACGAAGAGGTCCCTTATGTTCCTGGGTTCCGTGAGTTCAGCGATGGCCCCGGTTTTATGTTGGGTCTGTGCTGATGCCTCGGGAGTGATTATGGGTCCCAGGTATCGGATCTGCTCCTTTGCGCAATGACACATCTTACCCCGTGCCCTCCGGTTACAAAGGCGCAGGCAAGTGTGGACGGCAATGAGGTTCGGTAGATGGGTCGGAAAATCACCTTTGGTAGGACGATTATTAGAGTATCTTTACGTGATCCATGGGACGCGGGATGGCAAATGGGGCGTTCCGTAGCCCATATGACATTCTTTTATAATGGTGTAGTCCCAGAGGGGATATAAAGGCAGTTTTATCCCTGTTGGCAGGGTAGGCGGCGACTTGCCAATAGCCGGTCTACAGGCCGATAGTTGACATTACTAGAGCGTGGGCGTCGTGGAGGAGGTCGTCGATGCGTGGCAGAGGGATTTAACTTCCGGTAATCGACACAGAGGAGGGTGGATCCGTCCGACCACAGGTGAAGCCCATGGGGATTAGCACCCTTCTATGATGATTTGCGACACCTCGGACCTGGAGGATCTGTCGTTTGGCGGTGTTCACACGGTATAGTAATGCGATCGGTTGACAGGACCTCGAAATGGTATGTACTTCCAGTGATGTTGGCGTTCACACTGCAAGGAAGGTGTCCCTCTTTCTCTGGAGCAGGGCGTGAACATCGTTTTTTTCATCCTTTGAGAAATGGGTAGCCTCTTCGGGGCGCAGACTGTTATCTCCTATCTCCACCATAAAGAGGGAGTCGGTGTGTCTGGTTCTCTTCCTTGGCCAGTGGGGAAGGATTGCCGGTGACGGAGGAGGTCTCAGTGGGGCGGCAGGCTCCACTGGGCGGGTGTCGGCGAATATACTGTACAAATTAGCGTGTATGGTATCTTCCCAGTCTTGGTGGGCGACTAAATCGACTTGAACCTTTCCCGAACAGGTGGAGGTTTCTGTACGCCTGTCGTCTTTAGTCGTCCGGATAGAACGGGTGGCGGCGCGTACCCCGATGAATAACCATTGCCCTTTCGGCAGGTTTAACAGGATTCTCGCATCTTTTATGAAGTCGACACTTACGAGGACGCGGTTTCGGGCTCCCGAGAGGTGGGATCGCTCGGTCTATTAGAGTGGTTGGTACCGTGGCGGTTAGGAGGGCGGTGGATCTCGATATTCCATGAGCCAACACTAAATTTACGTCTCGCGGCACGAATTTACAGTTCGTGGTTCGAAGGGTAT